CCTGCTGCCCTTTGCAAGCTGCCTTTGGTTATCGTAATCAGCTTGTGCAGAGGACACTTAACTCAGTGAGGGGCACACCTGTACATTTCATGTGACTGTAAGTGGGAGGAGGAAGCCCAGATGCCGAGAGAGGCAGGACGCTGCTGGGTGACGCCTGGGGATCAGGCTTGAGCTGTCTGTGGGGCAGAGGTCTTGCCTGACATGTCGGAGGGTCAGGAGAGCAGATATCCAGGTGGGTGCTTCCTGTTCCACCTGCCTCTGCCTTTATTGACACCCTCCAGCCCGGAATTTCCCCTCCCAGGGCCAGCTTTGGGGTTCTTAATTCAGGCTGCTGTGAAAGGACGACACTAGAGTTGGCTTTGGGGGCAGTCACAGGGCTGGCTGGCTGTCAGGACGGTTTTTCCAGAATCTGTTTTCTTTGGACTTATCTTTTGGTCTCAGGGATTTGGGCCCTTTTAATCTTTTGAAGATGAAAGTCTTTTGTTAATGCCTGTGCGTTCTCTCAGTCAGTGGTGTTCTGGAATATAAAGGGGCAGCGGGAGAAAAGGCTGGGTTCCTAGGCTCTGGGTTTCCCTAGGTAGCTCTTCTTGATGGGCACAGGGAGATATCCACTCTAGACGTTTAAAACTCGGGTCTTGGGTAATCTACTGTAATTTCACAACAAAGTGTAACAACATGATTTTCTGCTTTAGTGGTGGCTATTAAACCATCTTGACCCCTGAGACTGAAATGGTGTGAATTCCACGCTCTGGAGGGGTTTCCATTTTATATGGAAACCTTGGGAAGGTGAGATTTGGGACTTGGTTTGAACTTTGAATTAGTCACTGCTCTTTTTGTTTGTTTGTTTTATGACTTCTTTGATAAATTACAAGATTATGTGGGTTTCAGGAAGAATAGAATAATGGTGTACGTAGTTCATGCCTCTCATTGCTCTGAAATAATTAATGAAAGAACTTCACTCAGAAAGCCATCCCAAAGAGCCTGCAAACGTTTGCAAGAAATTTACTGACGCACTTTATCCATTTATCTTTTTTTTTTAAGGAAACCTTATAGCCCTGGCATCTTAACTGGCTTAGCAGTTAAGATACGTTTTATCTTACACGTTAAAAAAAAGTTACATATACACCTGCTGCGACAAACTATACATGTGATTATGTATCGGTGTACCTGTGTTAACATCATGCTTGTTCAAACATTTCTTTTCCGTTTGATCTACTGTAGTTTTTCCAAATAAAGTTATCATAGCGGAACTATGTAAATATCCACGTGCACTCTTACTTCTTCTGCACTGTCACTCTAGTAGCTCATTGTTTGGGAGGCCCTGTAATGATGACAGACAGAAATTACTTTCCATTTGTCGGGCACTGTTGTAGGTGTGGCCTCCGTGACCTTCCCAGCAACTCCATGAGGAACGGCCAATGTGATCGTTCCTGGAGGAAGGGGATACACACAGGCTAAGTAACATGGCCAAGACCACAAGGGGCACAGCTGAGATCTGAACTCAGGCCACCTGGCTCCAGGGAGTGGAGGGGTCAAGACTGTGGGTGTCGAAGCTCAGCCACTCATCTAACTTCTGACCTGGGCAAGTGACCTGGCCTCCCTGAGGCTCAGTTTCTTCGTGGGTAAAATGGGCTCAGTCCTGCCTCCCCTGGTGCATCACGTGGTGGCGAGAGGTGCTCTCTGCGGGACCCGTCGGGAGCATGCACTCTGTAAAACACGCACTTGCACTTCTGGGTTCTTCAGCCATCTTCCCTTGCACATGGGGGCCCACATTCCCATTCTCTGCTCGGGTTGATGGCCGTGCTTGCCCGTAGGAGCCGTTGTGAGGTGTGGTCTGGCCCAGCACTGGGAGCAGGGGGACGGAGGTTTGTTGGCATATTGCTCAGTCTCAGGCATCCTGCTTGACGGCACAAAGCAACCTTCTTTCCCGAATGTCGAAGCATCGCACCCCAGGGGTTCTTTCTGGCCTTCTGGGCTTTGGCTCTGTGGGGGACAATGGAAGATTTTGGAAAGGGAGGCTTCATCTGTGCCCCCTGTCAGCATGGGGAAGGGCGCCTTGGCCTATGCCCCGCGCTCTGATGTCCCACAGAGCTCCACGTAGAGGAGTGTTTCAGGGAGTGGCCGGAATGATGGGGGCCATGGGTGAGGAGAGACAAGTAAGAGTTCATGGGGAAGGAGCCACAGGAAGGCGAGGTCCATGAAGGCTGGAAGAGCCAGGTGTTGACTGCTGCTACCTGGAGGTCCAGCAAGATGGTGACTGTAGGATGCCCTTTCCATTTGGTTATGGGTGGTCTTTGGTGACCCTGGATCGGGTGGGATGGTGGGGCCGGGGGGCAGCTCAGTGAGTTCATTGCAAGCTCACCCATGGGGTGCTGAGGTGCCCACGCCGCCTGCTCGCTGAGGGTGCAGGGACTCTCTCTCGAGGAGTTGTTGCCTCACCCCAGCCCTGACCCCTGGGTCCCGGGCATAAAAGCACTAGAGGAGGCCACGGGTGGTCCCCAGACTGTGCCTGAGTGCTTCACAGGACAGACTTGTCTTCTTCCACTGCTCCTCCTGGCACACTCCTAGTGCAACACTGAACACACACAACTCACTTCTGGGTGCCGGGGTGTTCAGAGCCCCCAATGGGAAACTACCCAAATGCCCGTGCCCTGTGGAATGGATCCGGGAGCTGTGTGATCAAACACGGAATATTGTACAGCAGTGAGGATGGATGGACGTCCCCCGCCACACAGGTGAAGCACACAGATGCTGCTGCGTGGAAGAAGCCTGGCACGGAAGAGCAGACACTGGATTCCCTGCTCATCATGTTCAAAACCAAGCAAAACTAAGCTCTGGTTGGAGACGCTGGGGGAGACGCAGAGGGCGCAAGTGATGTTCCTTCTTGATCTGGGAGAAGGTTCAGTGGGTGGGTTCACTGTGACTATTCACTGAGCTGCAGGCATATGGTTGGGGGCATACTGCACGTACGTTGCCATCAGTGACAGGTTCTGCAGACAAGCAGAGGAGCTCTCCTTGCTGAGCCTTGTGTTGGCGGGGATCTGGGTCTGGGTCCCAGCTCTCTGAGCCTGGGCAGGCTGCCCCACACCCCTTGGGTCTCAGGTGCACCCCTTCCCAGCGTAGCATTGTCCTTACCTCCAAGGGTGATGCGAGGGTTTAATGAGCCAGAAGGGTGACCAAGGACTGGCCCGGGGCATTTCCAGAGTGACAGAGACCCCTCACCCTGGGGTCCCTCCCGAAGCTCACTTGACCCACAGTGGGCATCACTTGGTAGAGGCCACCATGATAGACCCCTCCATCTTCATCTTTTCCATAAATCAAAGTGGAGGACCAGTGACGTCCCCAACACCGATCTTTGCCATCCAGTTCAGCCTTTCTCATAAATCGAGTCAGAAGAGAAGTGTCCCACGTGGGCACAAAGGGTGTGTGTGTGAGGAGGACAGTGCAATCCAGGGAGACCGTGGAACGGTTTCTGGAGGGTCCCTGGCCTTGCGGACTTCACCTGCCTCTTCTGCCCAGTGGATAATCCTTTAAGGCCCCTGCCCTCACTGCCAATATCTTTTGGAACTATTATTAAAGCTTGAAACAGATTTTGGGTTTAAAAGGGCCTTTGGGCTGCCAGTGCTGTGAACCCCTTTCCCCAAAGGCATGCCCGTCCTGAGTGTACCCATGGCAGCCCTAACCCAGCCTGAGAGCTTCCAGGGCTCAGAAAGCTGGAGTGCGCTGGCCATGTTTCTCCTCTCTTCTGGCCAAGCTGGTTCCACTCTCTCTCCCTGTCTCCCTGGCCCCCCCAGCCGTGAGGCAGGAGGTGGAGATGGGGCTGTGTCTCCCTGGGGATGAAAGTTATCTGCAGATGCTGCCAGCCCACCTGAGCGTGGCCGTTCTGCATCTGTGCAGCCTTTGATGACGCTCGCCCTCATCGCTGCTCTGTTTTGGTCCAAAGGGTGCATGATCCTTGGGAACCATGGCTCACTCCCAGAGACACTGTCTTTGGACTTACATCCACCTTGATGTCTATCATTTGTGAAATGGGTGTAATATCTTAGCCTAGTATCACTGCCATTGTAAGAGAGAAGGACTGCGTCCCTTTGCCTTACTTTGTCCTGAAGTCATTTTCCAACTCCCTTCCCCCACAAGACACTGCTGTTCACCTCTTTCTCTGCTTATAGTCTAAAGCTGTGCTTGTAAACCCTGGCTGCTATTAGAAACATCTGGGGTGCTTTAAAAAGTACAAGTTTCTGGGCCCCCTCCCCAAAGATACTGATCCATTGGTTCTGTGAGGGGTGGGAGCAGTGGGGTGCTGGACCCCACTGTGTGCCAGCCTGCCCACCTCCGTCCTCAGTGACCTCACTTTGGTAGCTTGAAATCTGCCAAGATGGAAATTGGCAGACACTGCACATCGGGTCCCAGAGAGCCTGTTATCAAACATTTACCAGCCCACCATGGAGCCAGGACATCAGTATTTCCTTCAGAGCTCCCATGGTGATTTTCACATGCAGCCGGGGCTGAGCACCGCTGGCCCGAGGTGCCCCAGGATGTGCACAGTGAGGGTTCCGTTTACCAGTTCAGCTCACAGCTGTCCAGCCCTACCAGCGGTTGAACTATTTGTGGGAATTAGATCTCTTAACTCTCACAGCAACCCATGCAGGAGGACTTATTCCCATTTTTCAGATGAGGAGATTGAGGTCCAGATAGCTTACCTGGTTCCTTGTCCAGGCCCACTCAGCTAGGTGGTGGCTGAGCCTGGATTTGAGCCCAGGCCTGAGCCCCTGGAACCCAGGCTTGTCCAGGGCCTCTGGGATGACTTGGTCAGCGCCCCACCCTCCCCACAGGCTGATGCAGACTCATTGCTCTGGGGCTGTGACCCTTCGGTCTGCAGCAGGTCGCTGGCAACGGGCACGTCTCTATCTTAGCCAAGACGCCTGGACTCTGAGCTGGGAGAGGGACACCCAGTTACTGACGAGCCCTCGGCGCTGATCCGTGCTTTCTTCCCTCCCCAGTGGAGCACGACAAAGAGTTCTTCCATCCGCGCTACCACCACCGGGAGTTCCGGTTTGACCTTTCCAAGATCCCAGAAGGGGAAGCCGTGACGGCCGCCGAATTTCGGATCTACAAGGACTACATCCGGGAACACTTCCACAATGAGACGTTCCGGATCAGCGTTTACCAGGTTCTGCAGGAGCACCTGGGCAGGTGGGTGCTGTGCTGGTGCTGGGGAGGGGTCCTGAGCCTCCTGAGCCACCAGGAGATGGAGGCTGGAGGGCGGGGCCAGGTTGGGGCAGGGGGAGTCACGGCTGCTTCCTCCAGGGAGCACCAACCGTGTGCCAGGCCCTGGACTCAGTACCTTTTCTCAGGATGGGGTGTGATGTTGTAAAGCTGTCATCATCAGCAGGTGGAGTTGGGAACAGGAGACGGCCAGGGGGGCCTGGGGGTGTGGCCCCCGTGCACTTGGGGTAGTCTGGGTCGGCATGTGTTTAGGAGGGTGAGGAAGAGGAAGGAGTCTTTTTGACCGTCTACCCCTCTCATTCATCCCTGAAACCCAGCACATGATGTCTGGCAACGAATGAGAGTGGCTGCTAGTAATAAGACGTTAGGATAAGAATCCCCAAACCAAAAATAAACAGCACAGAATTCTTAGCCTTCCAAGAATCTTGAGGTCAGGAACCAAAAGCTTGTGTAATAAGACTTTTAAAGTTTAGTTTAAAGTCCTCTGAGAGGTAAGAAGGCTAAGAATGAGCGGGAACATCTGCATGTCATCTAACAAGGACATTCTGCAGCCCCGAGGTGGATGCGACCAAGGTGGTACTACCCAGAGGCTGGGTTTTTGAACATCTTGGGCTGTCATATGTTTACCCTCCCCCCATGCCATTCCTCGAAATTAACGGAAGAAAGGTAGTGTGGGTGCCCCCTTCTGATGGGCAGTCCAAGCACCTTCAGCTGGAAAGGGGACCTATTAGCAGATCCAGGGACATGGGGACTGTCACCACCTCGTTTGGCAAGCACTGTCTCTTTGGGGTCATCTTAAATACTAAGAAAACCAAACTTTTCTTGAGTGTTTCCCGTGTTTTGCCTTCGTTAGCTGCCTCTGCCCCCAGTTTCTTGCCTTTTTTTCAAATCAGCAAAAATACCTGTGTGTTTAACTATTTTCACAAATGGTATCTCATCACATAGTCTCTCCCGCATCCACTTGTGTCACAAAACCTTGACCATCTTTCCATGTCACTTCACAGGGGGCATCCTTGTCCTCTTTATCACCACACGTCTCCCGTCATGTGGGTTGTGCTATTAAGTGTTTAACCAGTTTCCTGCATGCACACAGTGGGCCCTCAATTTTTCCAAATTATAGACCATGCAGGTGGGGGCAGGTAACACTTGTGCACACCTATCCGTTGGATATAGTTCTAGAAATAGAACTTTGGGGTCAAAGGGCGCACACATCAGTAACTCTGGTAGATTTTGCTCAGCTGCTTTTGGAGGTGATGTCAGTTTGTACTCCCACCAGCCGCACAGAGGAGGCCTGGCTCCCCAAGTGTTCCCCAGCACGGGCTCTTGTCAGACTGTCTTGATCCTTGTCTGTCTGTCTGGTGGGTGACAGATGGCATCTCTGTGTGGGTTAAATTTGCATGTTAGAGCCCCCACTTGAACGCACTGCCCTGTACTGCTCCCCTGCTAGAGGGGATGGCAGATCCCCCCGGAGGGCTGGCACCAGGGAAGGAGAGTGGGTGTGGCTCGGCGGAGGCAGCAGTCTGCCGGCAGGCATCCTTGGCGGTCTCCTCCAAATCTTGCTAGTCTCTAGGTGCCCCACTTAACCCTGGCGGGCTGGGCCCTGGTCCAGGCTCAGTTACAGCAAGAAGCATTGAGTTCATTCTCAGGGCTGACATATGTTTGCTCTGTCCTCTGACAGATCCCCCGGGACTCTTGAACAAGAGCATGTGTTTGGCTTTTCTCGTGCAGGCTGACTCACTGGAGGCGAGGCAGGTGCCCAGAGGCACTTCCTCAGTAGCACTCGGTCAGCCTGCTTGTGCACACGCCGAGCCCAGCTCACACCCCGGGCCTCCTAGCAAGCTCCCCACACCTGCCTCAGACCGCCATCGGGAGGTTTAACCTCAGGAATGTCACTGCCCCAAGTGGGTTTGGCTGAGCAGGACGGGAAGGGCTTGTTGATGTCATGGTGTCGCTCTTCGTCGAAGCTCTCCATCCAGGAATGAGTCCCCCTCCCTGGCCGGTGGTCTTTGGGGTCAGCTCGGGTGCTGCCGATGCGGGCCCTCCTTCCTGTAAATGGAAGCTTGCTTTTAGGCTTGGAGCATCCTTGGGTGCTGCTTTTGATGCGAGGGGCACCCCACCCATGGTCCCACACCTGCTGTGTGCACCACCCTGCTCCAGGGGCAGGGGATAGCAGCAGAGACTCAGCGATGAGTGTGCTGGGCACCTCTTCGGGTGGTGGGAGAGTAAGGAGGCCACTGAACTTGGAGAGAGCCGTGTGAGCCCAGCGATTCTGAGCACCTCTGTGCCAGGCGCTGGCCTCAGAACTATGGGATAAACCAGCCCGGTCACGGGGCAGCGACCTGGTCTAAACTTCGCTGAGGGGTGTCCTAGGGGCTGCCCTCTCAGGGCACCGGTGACACGCTGGATGGCTTGAAACAACAGAAACATAGCTTCTCATGGTCCTGGAGGCCAGAAGTCTGAAGTTAAGGGGTCAGTGGGCTGCCCTGCCTCTGAAGTCCACAGGGGAGGGTCCTTCCAGCTTCTGCTGGTGGCCGTGGACTGCCTGCATTCCTGGCTCACAGCCGCGTGGCTCCCATGCCTGCCTCCGTTGTCACACGGCTCTGCCTTCTCATGGCGTCTCCGTCTCCGCAGTGCGCCTCTCCCCTCTCCTGATCAGGAGACCGGTCATCTTGGATCAGGGGCCGCCTCGCTCAGGCGTGACTTCACTGCTTAACTCATTACATCCTGAAAGACCTTAATTCCTAATTCAGAGGTAGGGCTCAAGCACATCTTTTTAGGAGATGCAATCAACCCATAACAAGGTAAAGAAGTCAGGCAATCAGCAAGTTAGCAACTCAGTAAAGCCACTGGCCTGATAAGGTGGTTGGTGGTCATTGACGGCCTGTTGAGCTGGGGACATTTGAACGTCTAGAAGGATCCAAAATGGAATGGGGGAGAGCGTCTCAGGGGAACTACAAGGGCCATCATCCTGAGGTGCGGATGAGCACAGGTCATAGGAAGGACAGAAGGGAGCCACTGGTGCAGGGTAGGGTGAGCCCCTTGGCCCTCTCTTGGATGAAACACGAGTCTTTGGCCCCCCAGCGGCTGCCGGCAGCTCCTCATCTCTGCCTGTGTCAACCTGCTGACTTCGTGGGCACCTGGTTCCGTCACAGCTTGAAGGGGCCACCTCCTCGACCCTGCTTTAGATCCATGCGGTGGATCTAGTGGCCTGGGAGGGGGGAAGGCCTGAGTCACTGTGGTTGGAAGAGGGACTGGTGGGGCAGCTGTCAGCAGCTCTGTGGCTAGCGTGGCAGGCTGCCCCGATGAGCAGCGTGGCCACAGACCATCGCTGAGGATGCTCAGCCCGGCGTTGGGTTCCTGCCTCGGGGGGCTTTGGGCTTTGCTGGGAGACTGAGTCCCTCAAATGTTTGAGCACCTGCTGTGGGCTGTGCAGTGGTGGAAGTGATATGACCCCAGTCCCTGCCCTTGGGGAAGTGACAGTCAAGCAGAGGAGGCGACCTAGGATGATGTGGCAGGTGCAAAGCAGAAGGTAGAGCCGGGAGTGGAACGAGAGGCAGTGGGAGGGGACGGAGGGGCTGCTTGCTTCAGATCTCTAAACTTCCTTTCTGTACTTGAAACCGGGAAGCAGGGCCCTCATTCTGCAAAAGTTAACATTCTTTTTCCAAAAAATTATTGATTTTTTTTTTCTGGGTGGGTTGTTTTGTTTTTGGATCCAGAAGCGAATGATCCTATTGTATAATTCCGCAGGATAACTTAGCTATTAGTGGAGTGTGGATTCGAATCCCAATGCTACGTACCAGTGTGGCCTTGGGAAGTAGTAACCCCTCAGAGCCTCAGTTTCCTCCCCTGTGCAGTGGGGATAATAGCTGATCAACCTCCCAGGGTTGTGGTGAGGATAAAGGGAGTTAACACGGTTACTTAAAGCATAGCAAGCGCTCAGTAAAGGTTTACCAGACATTAGTGTCATCGCCATCACTGTCACCATCACCACCACCTCACCATCGTCATCCTCGTCGCCAGGAATGCAGAGGCCTCCTTAGGAGAATGGAGAGCTCCAGGTTCAGGCTGTGGTACTGTCTTTGCCCCCTTTGCTAAAGTCCTTAATTATGCCGTCTCTGACGGGGATGGAGGAGCTTGCTCCGAGCTGGAGTGCTCGTTTGTATTTCCCCAGCCTGGGCCACACGTGTTCTTCGAGCTGAAGGCCCTTGTCTGATCTGATCACTGAGGAGTCCTGAGCCTGCCCCCACCGCCCTGCTGGGTGGCCGCCTGCTCCCCCTGCGAAGGGAGCCGTGGCCTCCCTGAGGCCGACCGCCCAGCCACACTTAGCGCAGAGCTGGGACACCCGGCTCTCCGGCGAGCCCCGGCCTGAGCTCCAGGAAAGCCCTGGGGGTGCTGCGGATTAGCCGGCTTCAGGGCGGCCTCAGCGCCTCTCCCCCTGTGGCGGCCACTTTCCGCGGAGTCCTCTTGATCTCTCGGAATCCAGATTAAATTCCGATAATGAGCAGAGCTGGAGGCCGTCCACGGCCCTCGGGCTGCGCTTGCAGCGGGCCCCAAACAGCTGCAGAGGCGTGCCGGGGCCGCCCTGGGCGGCCGTGGGGTGGGTGGGTGCCAAGAGGCAGGTCTGGGGATGGTGACCTTGGCTCCAGTGGCCTTGCTGGGAATTGGGGGTGAGGGGCTCGGGGATTGGAGTCTTACCCTCCTTCTCTGAATCCAGGGCCTGGGGCCGACCCGCTGAGGCTTGGCTTCCAGAAACTGTACCCACTTCTGCCCCAGTGGCTCAAACTCCAGTTCCAGCTCAAGGTGAGGGTGTTGGGTGGGGGTCCTGCAAGCTAAAAGGTTTTATTTGAGGAACCGAGATTGGGCATCTTCCAGCCCCACCCTTCCCCTTCCTTCTCGAAGATCTGAGCTTCCCTCCCCACAAGTGCTGCCGCACCTGGAGGGGACACAGCTGGTCAGTGAGACACCCT